GTTATCATAGTACATTGTTGAAATTATTGTCCCCTCAACTCCTATTAGTTTCCCTGTTCCTATTGCAGAACACAAGTTCCCCACAGTTTGACAAAAGTCAAAAAAGCTAATTGTTTTCATATTTACTGTACAAGACCTGTCCTTTGTACTTATGCCGACCATTGTGTTGTGTTGTTTGTCACTTGGGTGCCTTTTGGCAACCTCCAGGCTATTGCCATGTGTTTCTGTCAGGCCACTCTACCTTAAAGGCCAAGCTCTGTCAGAGTGAACATTAAGGACTTGGTCACTTCTCTGACTAAAGGGCCCAGTATACTCGATCTGTGTTAGTAACACAGATTTTTTGCGAAAATTACTAATTTTTGAGGCTCATTATACAGGTAAACATTCAAAGGGGGTGACATGTATGGACACCATGCCGAGCTACTGGGAAAATCTTTACCACTGCCATATACAGTACATCACTACAGCAGGTTTCTTCCCACTGGAAGCTTCACTCTGGAATAATATTAATAATAATAAAAAAACTTCTGATATCTGCCATTATTTGTCCCAGTTAAAATGCCACAGTTTTTGGCAAACAGTTTCTTCCATTCACGGCTCTTTCCATACACAAATGTTTGCCCATTTGACTGTCAGTGTAAATGTTTGTTTCCAAGAACAACGTCTTTCATTTACAGATAATATAGACCAAGTTTCACTTTAGGACCTTCAATGTTGCATAATTTTTTTTTGTGTCCTTCTCCAGACTGTACAAAGTTGGCATGCAGCCCATAAACATGTGGAAACCACAGTTACAATGAACAAAACTCAATTTGTTTTTGAATTTGTTGTACAGGAATTGCCCTCTGTGTACTTGTAGCAATTGTTGTGTTGTGTTTAAAAAAACTGATGGATGTTTCCTTGGAAGCAGTAAAGTGTGCTAACTAATGACTGAGTAACACACAAAAATGCCATACTGAGAAATGATAAAGGAAGTTTAGGCATGTTTAGATTTCAGATTTTGAATTTAAAGGCACAGTGTGTAGGATTTGTTGTTTTCAGCGACATCTAGTAGTTGAGTGGTTGAATCATCCTCCCTGGTCCTCCCCCCTCCCCTCCCCGCTTCCAAACGCAAAGGAGTTTCTACGGTGTCTCTCAGGTGTCAAAAACCTTTGATAATTCCAACCGCGATGTCTACCAGCAGCTTCAGGGCTAGTGATGTTTCAAGTGGTAAGATTATGAGCTTTAATAAGTAAAATTATCCCAGCTACAATGACAGACAACAAATATTACATTTATAGTATTACAACTAAAACCGTTTTTGACGCCGCCACCGCAGTTTGTCCTTCATGAGCCTTCGTAGACAAGATGGCGGTGCAAGATGGCGGCTGCCTGTAGTGGGGACCCGCGACCATAGAGATATGAACAGCTTTTTATAAGGTAAAAATAATAAAACAAGGTCTTGGTCTGCAATGATTAGACATGTTTTTTATTATTGTCATTAGTGATTGTCTCAATTTCGGCTAAAAGAATTGACAAAATCCCACACACTGTGCCTTTAAAAGTGCTTTTTGTGAAACCATATCACAGCAGAGAGTTGTGATAGGTGAGAAGAATTTTACAATTTACTGTGATATACAAAGACTTTAAACGCTGAGTCAGAATGTATGTTTTTCTTTATTTTCATAATATTGTTTAGAACTAGATGGCAGGGTTTGTAGTATACCTGGATGTGTGTGGTGACTTGAACACGTGCAAGGTAGTCAGAAACTGCCTTTTAATCAGGTATCCACCTRGGCAGGCCTTGTTTGGTCCCAGATGTGGTTTTAGAGACAAAGTGAACCTGTAAAAAATGTTTGCTGCAACCCTGCTTCAGTGCTAAGTTACCAACAGAGACGCCTTTGGTATGTTTGGTTTTTTTCATTTTACTTGTTTTACATGAAGGTAACTAAAGAATTTTGTTTAGGAAAAAAATGATTTATTGATGACTTAAGTAATGTAAAAACTTCCCAGACAATAACACTGGATAGTTTAAGTTTATTTTGCTTACCCCTTAATGATTAGAGTAATATTTAAATAATGAAGTTTATTATTTGACATCTGATATGATGAACTAATTTTGTTCTCTTTTTAAGGTTATCAACCTATTTCATCTCATCTCAGTTCATATCATCCCAATAATGTTCACTATCATCTCTAATCTGTAAACCAACTATTTGCACCAACCTAACCAATAAACTAAAAGGATGAATGAATGGAGTTGGCCAGCRTCCTCTGTTGAAGCCTTGTYGAGTTTAGGCAGGCATTGAAGAAAATAAAAGAACTCCACACTGTTACAGAGGCACAAATTCTGCTTTCATTTTTAACACATTCTTTCCAATGCAACTGCTGGAGTCCATTATGTTATGAAATAAAACAGAAGTGGTAATGTTGTTTAATTATGTAGCAGTATTACTAATGCCTTATTCTGAAAGCCTTTTTAAACAAACAGTTCTCAAAGTGAGAGGTGGAAAGTGTCTGCAATTTGAGTTACACATCCTGGAAAGTTGTCCAAAGCGTAAACAGGACAGGAATGATAACTGTAATTACAGGTCTCTATTGGACTCTTACACAATCACAGAGGCACAATTCCCCTTTTTCTTATTTTCTGTTCATTTCTCCCATTAGCTCAATTTGAGTCCATTAATAAGATCGCATAAAATGTATTTGGTAAAGCTGTTTAATTATGTAGAAGTATTATTGTGTTATTCTAAAAGCATTTATAACTTTTGGATTTAGAGGAAAGTTTTGTAATTAGAGTCTCATACTTTTAAACTAGATATCTCATAGAGGTAGCATATACTGTCTGGCCCCTGCATGTACCAAAGCGTCAATTCACCACAATGGATGGGTGGTGCTCATTAGTGGGCTCACTGGATAATCTTTGCAGTTCCCGTGGTGGCATCTGGAGTTTTACAACTTCTTTGTAGATTTGTGCTCATGGTGGTTTTGCTATTTGTCAGTTTTTTAGTAGTTACATTGCCTGAAAAGTACTTTAAATTTACTTCAAATTTTTTTTCTACTACTTTTCTACATCTACTAAAGGAAAAAAAAAATCAAAAAAATCTTCTAAGACATTATCACCAATAATCTAGAAAAAAACAACAACAACAACAACAAAGCAGAGCAGTGTGTGGGTAGAACACAAACTATACTTTTAAAATCATGAGCATACAAGCTTTTTTAATAATTTTTTTATTTTAATCTTAGATTTTGAAGCTAAATACAGGCAACTTTGTACACTGATAATAGTTTTAAAATGAATGCAACCCACAACCTCTTTTTAGAATGAGCTCCTTTTAGTGTGATCATCTTCATTATACATATGAGGACCTCAAAAATAAACTCTTAATGTGGACATCTCATGCTTTTAAATCCTTCTTTTTTCACATTTCCATATTTGGGGTCTATATGCTATTATGTGGATCTGAATTCCTTCTTATTGAACTCCACAAGCCCCTCTTTCAAATCTTTTCTGAGGTGTGTCTCAGATCGACTCGTTTTGATGCTGTTTTTTTAATCCAAACGAGGCACTTCACAACAATAAAGGTGGATTTTGCATGTTATGTCCCCTTTAAGACAATAAACAATTCAATCATGTAATTTATTGAATTTCACAAGATTTGCAGACATTGGAACAAGAGGTGCAGATTTAATATGAGTAGCTCACGTCAAAACTTTAAGACTTATTGAAGGGGTTTTGACAGGAACAGATCCAGGGCGCAGGCAAGGTTTCAAAATGTAACAAAAAGGTTTAATAAATAACAAAAAGAGGGCTGCTGGCAGCAAACTTACAAATAATGTTGATCATCAGGCACGAGGGGAACAAAGCACAAGGAACCAGGACAGACAAACACGACAATGATCCGACCAAAAGACAGAGACAGGACAGGGCTTAAAT